ATGAATTTGGATGGCTTTCCATGTGATTGTTTCATGTGCTCTTTTTTCCGATTTGGATGGCTTTTTCATGGTGTTCTCCCATGTTCTTCTCCCCCTCTTCCCGAATTCGAAGAAGGAGGACGTCTCTGCCATTACACACCCTGACACGGTCACGGAGGTACGACAAGCTCGGATCTCGGTCTCGTCTTGGGTCATCGCGCGGTCTCGCCGACCACGACCCACCCGTCAACGGACAGGGTTTGGCGGTCTCGCTGATCGCACGTGGCATTCCACCCGTCACCGAGCTTCAAAACGTGGCACCATGGCTGCCTTTATGGACGTCTATGGCATCTATGGGTTGATACCGGATGAGACCGGTCACTGCGTAAGACTGCGTAAGACTGTGACCCAGTCAGGGAATCGCATTTCAACTCCCAACTTAGAAGTAGAAGGAAGGCCTAGTTGCATACTTCCAGTTCCGCGGTTGATATTCCAATGTCTTGGTGCATGGACCGACTTGGCAGGGTGAACAGAAGTCATCCAACTGGAACACAGCTGCCAATTCGATCGTTTTGAACATGATCACAATTCCCGGTATATTGCATATACCATCGTATACGTATATATACCTATATACTAGGCCTTTTCTTGAGGTTTTCAGCTCCTCCCACCTTCTCATGCCAAGCATCAATGTTTGTGAGAACTGCGTCAACCCGTCTTCCCCCACCCCTTCGCACGCCTCCGATCTACCCGAAGGCATGGAAAGGCGGGATCTCCCCGACGCGGCCGAGGAGGCGCTGGACGGCGACTGGGCCATTGCTTGATTACACAAGCGACAAAGGGGAGCCAAGTGCCCCGCTGCGGGCCACCACAGGCGTCCCACACGAGTCGCCGGCCGAGCTTCACTCGGGCCGGACTGCGGGAGGACGGAGGCCCTGACCTGTCCAACATCTGGCATTCTCTCTCCCTATAGGAAGCGGGGTTGAACGACACTGTGGGCTGCCGCTCATTGATTGAATCTAGTCTGATATGTCTGATTGTGGTTACCCAAACACCTACTACCACCAGACCAAACAAAGAGCGCAACCAAAAAAAATATTGCTGAACCACAATTGCTTTAATTCCAGAAAGGTTGAATACAAAATACAAAAGCTCACCTGTCTTTCAAAGGGCTTGCTATCTGTCAAAGGGAGTTAAGTTCTGGTCCTTTCAAAGTGAATGTGACCCAAGATTTCAATGATTTCAAGCTGCGTGTGATCATAACGGATCGGTGTCTATCTGTCTACACTTTGGGGTTACAAGAGTATATAAAGGTATACCCAACCCTGCAGTGATGAAGATTCTCTGCAGAAGTATCAGGGTCAGGGTCTGCTCATTCTTTGAGACCCACAGGCCATTTGGCTTGACCAACATCAACCAACTCAACCACCAAGCAAAGCAGGGACGCCTGACAACCTGGGTCAGTCAATGCCCGCATGGGTTTCGCCCCAGCTATGCACCCTTGCTGCATAGGAAGAAGCTCCTAGCACCTGGCCGGCCACCGTCTTGGGGTGCCTCAGGATCGGCTCCAAAAAGGCTGACACGCATCGAACCCAAAAAACTCGAGATCGTGGGTCTTGTCATGACAAAGTCGAATGTGTCTGATGTGTCTACTCTGCACAGTCGTTTTCAGGGCTGGACCACAAAGAACTGACCATGTGACCAGGTCCCTTGACTTCTTCACATGCCACCGAGCAGCAAATGACACGTAGCAATGAGCTGTGCTTGCACTGCCTGTGATCGGCCACAAATCCAACAACTCGACTAGTCACAGCATACCTTCGACCAAGTAGCTGCCACTGTAATCAAGCTGCTCGGTAGTTGAAGGCGTACTTGGCCCAAACATTCTCTGTTGAACTCATTGGTGAATTTATGGCAAACAAACACCACAATAATCACTTTCGGTTTTATAGGATTATTAATTTTAAGGTTTTGTCCAGTGTAAAGATTATGTAAATAAACAATGTAGATTTGACAATTGAACCATATTGAAACCACTACCGACCAGTTCTTGAATTAAGTAAACGATACTTTCAAGATTTGGCCAACCAGTTAAGTGAAATTCTTGATTTTTTCAATCCTACTCAACGAACACCCTGCGGCTATCTGCCTCCACTGCAGCGCGGAATTCGCTCCGCAGTGACCTGGAATAAGCTGGTGGTCATGGAAGTGCCTGCAGCTCCATTGCTCCACTATTAGCAACTGAACACATTGCGAAAACGCTAAACAAAACAATTACCGGTTATATATGATATACATATATAATCTTGTTCTATATCATATTATATATTAAAAATGTGTAATGACATGTATAATCATGTATACTGTATATTGAAGATTTGGGCAAGCTTTGCATACCCTGCAGTCTCTCGCTCTGTAGCTTTCTGGAGAGTTTGGCTGCCTTGGACCCCCAGCTTGTAAGGCTTCTCGGGTAAGCTCTTCAACTGAGCCTCCTCAAAGACCGGTTGCACCAGCGTGGTGCAACTCCTGCGACGTCTGAACGACTACGACTGATCGGGTCTGCTAGGCTGGTTGCTAGGCCCTGCTAGGCTGGGGGACCTGATGTGAAGCTTGGCGTTGGCAAAGCCAAGCTCGGTGAAGGGCTTCGGTGCCCTTTGGCATGGAAGTTCTACTTGTTCCCTTCTTAAATAGGTCAAGATGGTGCGGAAGATGGAAGCCTCTTCGACGTTGGCACGCCGCGTTCGAGACAGCAACTGAAGGTGAGACAGCGAGGTGGTCACCATCCAACGGCAACAACCGATGCTGCCGACCGAGGCAAACCCACAAAGGACACCAGTAGATGACTGGAAGAAAGGATAAGAAAGGTTTCACAGCCGATGGCATGGAGTTGCAGCCAGGCACCATGGTGCTTTCTGCTAACATTTGGCAAGCGGGCTCCTTTAGGGATAAATCATGGAACAAAACATGATACAAAATATGAGATGCACTTCAACTAGTGTGGAAGAAGAAGTCATTTGAGGTCCCCTACCAGCAGTGGAGCCATCCATGTCTGCCATCCAGAATCCGCCTGTGATTGAAGAACCGCAGCAGGCTCTTTCGCACCTGCACCGCTCGCTGGTGGGGCATGAGTTGAGAACTGTAAAGCCCGAGCCATGGAGGGAGGGCACTCACTTGTGCCCACAAGCCCTCCATTCCGTCTTTCACACATCTGTCTCAGCAGGTGCATGAGTCGCGAGGCCTGAACCATTTCCGCTTGGGGCCCCTGAAGCGGCATTTCCACTGTGAACCGATGAGCCGAACCATTACTAAAGCAAACTAGAAGCATCTCCCTTCATCTCTCCCCACCCAGTAATGATCAAGAGTGTCATTTGGGCACCGGATCGAACATAGATTACTAAACACCATTCTACCAGCACCACTCAAAGGGTAGTTTATAGAACTATGTGACTATGTGTCGTCCTTATACAGTATCTATAATCTATATTATCCTTCATTTCGTAATCCCTTGTGTGGTGATGATATGATTCGTTATTTGATTTGTCAAACATCCCGAGACCGCCACCAGTGCGTCCGGGTCATAACTTTTTTGAATGTCGAATCTCCGCCGATCAGGGTCTTGTTGCAGCGGACGAAGGCACCATCGCTCGCGTGCCCATTCGTGAGCTGGCCTCTTCCGTGCCCGGGTTGGCGGCGTGCAAAGCCTGCTCCAAGTATTCCTCAGAGCTCAAGGTTCGATGCACGGCATTGGGCGAAAATACGGGGTGTAGTGATGGAATTGGAGCGAAATCCAATCCTCATGAAAGCCCTACTTAAAGACCCGACCCTCTTCCTCCAGTCCACACAATGTGCTCCCAATAATCACCGAAGCTCAATGCATATATTTATTCTTGGGGCGCAGGTTGATATTATGACATGAACTTCATCAGTGTCAAATTGGGAATCGGATGTGCCGTAACGGATTTCTAGTAGGGTGTCTAAAGGATGCTAAAGGAGGAAATAGAAAGGGAGTTGGGCTATTCGATGATTTGCCTCGTAGACAGGGAGTGGTTGGGGCTAGGAAGCTGAGTATTAGGAGAGGAAATGCCCTACTGCGGCCTTAGGGGTGTCATCAATGTCATGGGCACTATTGTAAAAGCAAACCTGGGGCTTGTGCGAAACTAAGCAGCCTGCACCACTAGAATCATTATTAGAAGTGCTGTGGGGTTACAAAACGAGCCAGGAAGACTACAACAAAAGATCCTCAACAACATGTTGACTTCCACCATGGAGTCTGGTCTTTATAAATATAATGCCAAGTAAAGAATGCAACCAACAAACTTCCTGTTCAAGGGTGCCTAGTAGTGGCCGGGATAGTTGCCGAATTACATGACATGCACCTTTTCAGCAGCCCGACCGACCGGGGCGCCTGACCTCCGGGCTCATGAGGCTTCCTGCTGCGTCCCGAAGATCCAAGGTGAAATCGCGTAGCCTTCCATCGACCCGGGCCCGGTGGTTGTGGGGTCGTCCGGTAGAGGTGGCACATCCCAAAAAAGCCACTTGACTTGGACCGCTGAATGCAGTTGATGCTTCATGGAAAAAATAGAAACAACACATTTCACCTGCGAGTGCTTTGAAAGTAAACGGCCGCAAACCGCATGGGTGTTTGGACGCACGAATGAAACGAGGCCACGGATTCTTTGATGGCCCCTGTCCACAGCGCGGCATCTTCCAGTGATGTCTTGACATATTGTAGCCACGGGGGGCTATGCGTACAAATCAACAGTCCCGTCCCGGATAACAAGGGGCCGGCCCAGCGATGTATGCCGTGAGATCGTGCGAGTCACATCTTGGGGGTGGTACTACACATCCAAACACCAGGGTTCCAAAGAGGGCCCCTGGCCTAGTCGGAATTCGTGGAGTTTCATCATAATATAATGTATAGAATAGCAAAACAACTTAATAACTTAATCAAAGAAAACCATGTGCCTAGAGCGGAGATCCAAATCTGAGGACGTCACACCCAAAGCAGGGCAGGGCGACTGACGTCCTGGCATACATCGATTGCGACTGGTTCAAGGGGGAGTGGAAAACCCGTGGGCCGATGAGTTCTTGGGATAGGCCAGCTGCAAACACGGCCGGGACGCTTAGATAGTTGCGGGGCATGTGTGGTTCAATCGGTTGGTGTGCTTTCGTTGCGGGAAGAAAGAAGCCGGAACCCCTATCCCTCCCGGAATCACATTAAACATCGAAAGCGCTGGCAGTGATCCATTTTGTAAGAATTGATTGGGGTGCTGGTGTCATCTCACCACCACAAGCTGATGACTGGTGATCGTTCAGTCAATGGGTCACGCGGTCGCCGGATGTCCTGGCCACGTTCTTGCAAGTGCTCGGCCTCAAGTGGTGTGAATGCCAAACCACTTGACAGCTACTGGGCCGGGCTTCATCTGCGACGACTCAAGGATCTTCTCCTTTTGTCTATCCCAAGCTTCTCCCCAATACAGCAATAGTCACCAAAGAGAAACGCATCCTGACACAAAACAGTTGGAGCCCCAGGGCATTTTCACATGTTGCTCAGGGAAGTGGTTGAGATCGATGTTCCTGGTCACCCACAGGTGCCCACACCAAACGTGTCACGCAGGCCAAAGAGTTGAAGACCTTGGTCAGCACATGGTGGCGAGGAAGCCGTCCTTTTAAACATGTAGTATGGTGATTGCCATGTGGTCCCCGAATGGATTGAAACAGAACAAAATAACTTTGGCTGAAAGGATTTGGGGGTCTATAGACACAAAACAACCAAAAAAAAAAAACACACACACTTTCAATCACGGGGCCAGGACTTGTACCCCAAACCTACACGGGGTCCTTGAACTCAAAGGACATGTGCATTTGGTAAATGATTGAAAATCAGGATTAGCAGCAGTCAAGCATTGCAGTCCATCCTCCACCTCATAACCACGGGTTCTCCAAGGACCGTATTTACATGAGGTACTCCCTCATAGGCCGATGGTTGGTTAAGCCGAACGGGCAGGAAGCGGGGTAGGACGGTAGGATCTCCCACATTTCTGACTCCACTTCCTCCACATATCCATGCTCATTGCCACACTCCCTACCCTCCCGACCCTCCCTCCCATTCCATCCTGGGTGACTCCCACTGCTTCACCCAAGGTGCCCTGGCACGAGTCGTGCTGTCGGTGTCCATCTTCGACGCAGTCGCGCTGATTCCATGGAGCCATCCACCGAAAGCATGGGAGTTCGGACATGAAAATCACACATTGACCATGAACAATCACACACACACATACTCCTAAGCACCACTCAAGTGGATACTCAAGAACACCCGGCACAGTGCGAGTGACCCCTGGCAAAAAGGACATATGCCATGCGTAAGGTACTGGCACTGATACCGGCATATCATATCTAAACATCATGCATGAAACCAAATCATCTTTTGTTATGACCTCTCCCATCTGTTTGTGAGACATAGAAATTGACTAAAACAGGATGGATATTTTGACCCCATGCAGAGTGAGCAAGTCAATGGAAATGGTCCAGCCTGTTAGAGTTTCGGCTGGTACCCCGAGTCATGTATATAATCATTTCTTCAAACGCCAGGAACTTGGTGGTCGACTCTGTGTCCCACATTTCTCCCTAGTTTTTCTCTTAAGCAGCTTGGGCGTGTGTTTTGAATGCCGTTGATGAGTTCATTCATTCATCCGCTGTAGAGATGGCAATTATTTGTTGGACTTCATAGCACAGGCAGTGGCAGGTCTTGGTGTCTGAGGCATTTAAAGGTCCTAGCATCAAGCGGCTGGCGATTCTGGCCCTACGTAGAAAGTACAGACCTGAGGTGACCTAGAACTTGTTTTTCTCCTTTACTTTGTATCTCGAGCAACTGCAAGCTCCAGTAAGAAGTTGCACAGCCCCCCGCGTTCACGTTCAACATCATGTGTCATGTACCACACATTGACAACACGGACTCATATTATCTCGGTTTTCTACCTGCACCCAGAACATTCCAGCCAAAGGAAGACTCCCGAACCGCTGGACTTGGCTCCTTGGTGTTCAAGATCATCACTGAGGACATCAAAGCACACAGCGTCATCAGCTGCCCATCACCTTAGGAAAAACTGCTGCTGCTGCCATCTCACAGCTAGAAATGGTTGCAGTGAAGTCACTTGAAGGTCTGACACATGTTCATTCGTGGGAAGGCCCTATCGCTCATCCCAAATCTGGAGGAAGGCCCTATCGCCTGGCACCACAACGACTCCGCAGGAGCCCCCTCCCAGAGTCGTGCCCCTCCCAACAGTTCTGCCGTGAAAGTCCTTGTCTTAAGAAAGCACCAAACAGCATCAACAAATCAAAGTCTGAGCTTTTAGAGGAAGTGTGGATGAGACAAACAAAAAGGATGCAACACTTCAAAACAAGTATAAGTAGGATGAACAATGACAATGTCACCATGCCGCGCTCCAGCACAGGCTACAGCTAACAATTCAATACCACGTTCCCTCTCCGTGTCCCTCTCTCTCTCTCTTTCTGATTGCTTCTCGCTGCAACAAAAGCAAACAATCCTTGGCAGGGAGACCTGATCCTGCACGGTCTAAGATACCGAAAGAACTCAGCTTCCCACTCAGTTTCCCAGTGCCGCTGAAAATAATACTCCCGCCTTCCCACTGGAGGTCACTGTTGGGTTTCAAAAGCACTTCAGCTCAACCAAGTCCGACATAGTCCGACATCTCAAACGTGCCACTTTGCTTCTGGCACCGGAAAGGTCAAAGCGTCTGCTGTGCACTTGGCTGAGAGTATTAGGACTCGTCTGAGTCTAGGTTTCACCCGAGCAGATCGGCCTCTCTGGGGCCCCAACAGCTGCGATCGCTGACTCCGAAGCCAGCACCTGGGCGAAGGGTGAACGGTGCGGATCGGGCGCACCCAAAGACGCTTGATTTCTCACAAGGTGCTGAAAGAGTCATGCAAGTTAGTTGGCATGGTTTATGGTTTAAACTAGGACGGTATCTGATCTGTTGTTGGTGTTGGTGTTGGCAGTGTTGTTGATGTTGCTTGTAGTAGACCTGGAATGCCGCTGACCCTCAATCGATAATCAATTTGGCTGATATAAGGGTCCTCAATTGTGACAAGTTTTTGTTCCAATAAAACATGCAATTAAACAATACAAGCCAATGACTGGCCTGCTGAGAGCATCATGATAATTATATATAGGTTTCTCTAGTTCTTCAAAACTGACAGCGTCCCAAAGCCATCAATTCCTTAATCAATTCTTATGTAAAGATTCCTTTTAGAGACTGCATAGGAAAGGGATTGCTGAGAAAATCTAATTACGAAGAACCTGAGAAAGTAACATAAATAATCACAGTCTATGACAGGAAAGGAAAGGACTGGACAATATATATATATACTACAATCAATTGCAAAAAAAAAACCTCCCAGGAATCCAGATTTGTTTTGGTGGTACGTAGTTTATTATAGAGGACCTGCCATTTGTTTAGATGGAGGGGGTATATAATCCCTTTTACTGTTCCTAATCAGGATCCCACATTACGGAAGAACACCCACATCATCAATACCAGCTTCAAGGCTCCATCATGTTCCAATGTTTGGTGTTTGTTCTTCTGTCTCCAAGCCCTGCACAGTCCAAATACGCCAGGATCGGCGCATTCTCGTCGTCCGGGTCCTGCGGCTGCGTGAGGACGGACGTGGTGTCAGGCTGCTTCATTGCCACTGCCAAAGCTAATCAAGATTGGGTACCCAACGGAAGCCTGAGGACATGTTGTGTCACCCATTCCCTGTCAAGGTCGTCATCAGACCTGATCAATGTCAACAATATGGCGTTTCTTCTTTCTCGTCGCTGTCTTGTTTTGAACTGCTGAGATTCTTTGCCGACTTTCTTCCCCTCTATGTTGCGGGGAGGTCCAAAAGGAATATAATCAATTGCTTGTAGGTAGTATAGTGCATATTATATACGGTAGTTGATCCGTTCTGATTTGAAACGCTGCATTGTCAATTGTCGGGAATTGTTCAGAGCTAATCTGAGATTCTGCTGTAACCACACTGAATCTCTCTTTTGACTTGCTGCGCCCCCCCATGTCCACCCACAATGAGTCAAAGCCCCTTCATGTAGACGCTTCATTAATAAACAGCCTATTTGGATTGTTAAACCTCGTCATAAGTATTGGGATTGAAACAGAATCAACAAGTCGACATTATATATTGTAACTTTAAATATTTATGTATAATACATATGATCATAATTGATTATACAAGAATGTCCTTGGCCGTAACTTTCATGGTCCATGAAGCGGCCGCGGTCCCGATGAGCCCAAAGCCAAAGACCATCGGTGCAGCTTCCCGTGCGGCGAGTGCCCACCTGTGCCACCACACCGCTGGAGGAGGTTACGCCATATGGTCATTGATCCAAAAATGCAGTAATTACGGCAATTGCCCTATAAACAATTGTAAAAGTAGTTAGTAGTTATATAACCCCCCAGAAAAAGTCCAAAAAAGAATGAGCAAATGAAGAGACTCACTTAAAACGACTCACTTGCGAACAGGTACGCGGTAGGATTTGGCTACTGTACTGTTCAATAAATAGGCTACTGTCACACCATGTCACACCCATCGTGCAGAAGATCCCACTTATCCAGTCACCAAGTTTCGCACGGGAGACCGTTGAGGAATCATTCCGAGCATTCTGTTTCTGATCAAGCAAAGGCAAAATGCAAAAGCACCATGGACCATATAATCATTGATCTTGGCCGCCATCTGCGGATCACCCAGCTGCCTTTGGAAAGGTCCATGACCAGCCTTGAAGGCGGGCAAGCTCTCCTCCACGCGACCCAAAAGGACATTCAGCAAGTAGCCTCGGATACTTCAACTGGTTCCGACCCTATTTACAGCCAGTGTCTGGGTTGCGCTAACAGAAGCCGACTAACAAAAGCGTGTGCGTCTTGCTTTTTTTGTGCTGCGTGTGTATGTGTGTTTCTCTTATCATATACCTGTTCAAGTATTTGTAGTTTAGATAGGCCTTGTCATCTTGGCCTTCACAAGGCAATACCAAAAATACCCAAGATCTACGGGAAATGGACATGTTTGGAGACGGGGGGGCCAAATTTTATCCACCGTGTCACAGGATTGCTTTTGTTTGTCTATATATGTGCTCATGTGGTATCTTAGGGATTTTTGGTATATGCTCATCAAAGTCAAACATGTCGTCTATGTGTTTAGATGTTTTTGTATGTGTTTCCTTACTATGCAACAATTTTCTGATTGAACAACTTCTTGCTTGAATACCTCGATGCTTTCAAAACAAAAGCAATATATGGCATATTACTATATAATGGTCAAATGGTCTTACACAATAAGCACGTCTCAACAGTGTGGAGGATACTTGCTCCCCCAGCCGATTTGATATGTTTGGGGTTTAGCCACTTTTCCCAAGAAGTATTTTTTACTAAATATTTGATATGTCTCATATTTAGCCTCTTCCATCACCTGCTCAAATATGAAACCTTAATTTGTCCTTGTGTCAAAGCGTGCTTTGCAAGGTTTTCTCCTTCGGTCTCCATGGCAAATAGTTTGCCCTCTTTCTCGCACACAATGATTATCATAGTACAATTTACACGCTCCTGCTCAACACAATACGGATCCGATTAACGATCATCTTTCGCAAACGCATCCTGACGGAACATCATTGACATGGTCAACCACTCTTCTTTGGGAGTCGCCTTCGAGAGCGAACACTTCTACACTGCCCCCGGTCACAGTCTCCCCGAAACTGCTGCCCAGGCGCTCTTGCCGCTGTTCGACGGGCCGCACACGGAGACCACCGCGATCTTCCGCCCACCGTACGCCTGGTGGTGCACCGGGCGTAGCCGCGGTGCAGGTGGTGCACCAAGAGGTGCGTCTTTGGTGGCTTGAGCTACTGAAGTCCATGTCAAATGTTCCTGGACCTCGAAGTTATTGAAGTTCCTTGAAACGTCTGTGGACCTCGCCCCCTCCGTTTCACACACCGGCCGGTTCCAGCACCTCCAAAGCACGAAGGCCTTCGGGGCATAGCTCATAACGCCACCTGAGGCTGGAAAAGAGGTGTTTCTTCGATCTGCTTTCTGTATCTTTCTGTCAGATTCATGGGGTTCAGGGCTTTCTGTTTGTCCTTTGGTGTCATATATATATATATATATGCCTATAGGGCCCGACGGGACTCCACGAAGGGACAAACACAGAAAAACCATGAGTTTGTGAGAACTCTGCTTCTTGGAGGTGGGAGAAGTCCTGCAGGCCGCAGACCAGTTCCAACATCCAGGCATTAAACAGCACCTGACGTCCGAGCCGTTTCACTGGAAATGAAGGTCATTGTCCACCTGTTTGCCTCTCCGTGGAACCCCATTTTGCGGGCGATCCACTTTTCCTTGGATATACGGCACCCTACTTCCGGTGGGAAACACACCCCTGCACTGCTTCAAGTCCATGCTCGCAAATCTCATCAAGAACGGAGGAGCCCTGGTTTACCGCAGGGCTGCGCCAGACTCTTTGCTCAAAAGCTATTGTCGCAGTGCAAAGAATGGTGGCATAAAGCGCATAAAGGCCCATAAAGATCCATAAAGGCTTAAACCATCTTAAACCGTACAATGTTCTAAATCGGCGGTTCCCAGTCTCCACATGTACACCGGCATGAACTCCCACATCTCTCCACTAAGCAGTCCGAGCCCTACCGAAAAAAGCCAGTCCTACTGGAGCCCTGGTGCGTTGCGGCGAGTTTGCTCTTTTGCTCTCACCACACAGTGAGGGCAGTGAATTGGTCCCAAGGTTCTGGGATCGTGCAGGGCACCCACCGATTTCAGGAGGGCACCGATTTCAGGGACAAAAACCCGCTTGCCACCAGCCACTGCCGGAGAGCATTGGGCCAAACTGCAGTAAAGGTCAAAAACCCCTTGGAAGAGGCCAAATTCAACGCTGGTTCTACACATCATCGCGTTGGAATAACAATCTATACATCAAGCAAACATGTGCAGACCAATGGGCTCTTTACAGGTCCAGGTCTCCAAGTTGTCTAATTATAGTAGATCTGGTGAACGCGCGAAGGCTGTGCATTCACCATGACGGAGGCCCCCCAGAGTTGTCGAATCCTGAAAGCTCCGGAGCACAAAACTATACAAATCTGCCCGCGATTTTTGCAGGTGACTTTGCAGGAAAAGCTGCAACGATGCAAGCTGCAACGATGCAACGGAAAATTACAACATCGAAATCCTTCGACTATGCTACATGGAGCTTGCTCGTTCGAGCATGCTACATGTGACTTTACTATCTTTACTTTGTGGGAACATGGATTGACAATTGCCATGATGAGCGCACCTTCTTTCTCCGCTCGAGCTCCTCTAGAATCAGATCAGCATTGCTCCGTTGCTTGCAACGGAAGCTGCGGAGGAAGGAATCCTCGGCCAAACCGGAGCTGAAACACCCCCGCCCCCACAGCTCAGGGTCGGTCACTTCCGTTTCCAACCGGTATGGGGATGGGCGGGCTCACAGTTGATATGGAGCGGTAAAGCCATCAAAAACGAATTTAGACCAACGTTGGTGGTGCCGTCTCAGGGCTATCGATATGTTTATTAATATACTGTATACTGTATACTTGCACTGTTGGTTTGTTGGGGGTGTTGGTGTGGGCTCTCACCAATGAATCGAATCGAACACACACTCAAGATCTTAGGTGTTCGATTTGATTGCCCCAAGCGCGGGGCCCTGAAGAAATTCAAAAACCTCGGTATAAACGAAAGCCTAAGTAGTAAGTCGTGCAAGAAGGGTGCAACCATCAAAACCTCAGCACGAAGTTCCAGGAGTCAAAATCTCAAGGTTCAAACCACCAAGAGCAAAGTGTGTTTGCCGACCCCACAGCCTCATTAGCTCTTTACAAAACGGAATGAGACAGCTTTGGCTTTACGTCACATAGGTCCAAGGAGATTCACAATGCAGGATACATGGATTGGCGCCCCAATCCGAGTTGCGGAATATATCCACAGCTGTCTTCGTTGGCGGCAAGGGTTACACCCACACCCACACACACACCACACACACTCGCGCCATCTCGCGCACTTGATTGTCACATCTGTGACCCATCTGTGCCCGCCAGCAGCTTTCCCTTCTTCTGCATGCAGTCACGAAGCCCAAGGAAATGCACAAAAAGAACGTATGGTGCCCACACACGTGACTGGCATTCTCAACATGATCGAATCAAACAACCGAGTTCTGCCCTCTCACCGAACAGGTTCTGCCGAACTCGAGCTCTCCGATTGGGCGGTTGTTTGGGTCACTGTTGAAACTGAGGCTCACCAATGGCTGCCCCATGCAAAGAAAATAGGCACTTCAACATCGTGGACTGATGCATCAAATCTGTCAGGAAGCATGGCTGAAGGATCCTGAGTGGTCACCACATCGTTAGGCACAGTTTGGCATATGTTGGCAGGCCGATTTGGTTCAATAATGTGCGCTATAGGTCATCGAAATCAGCAAAATTTACAACTTGAGGCGGGCAAGTAATTAGAAGTTTTCAAAACCCGAAACGACCTCACCGACAACCATCAGCTGGTTCGACCGTTCTTCAAACCATCTTTTGGGGGTTTCTGGTTGCGTCACAGAAAGCTAGTTGGACATACTTACAACGCGTCAATTCAATACAGTCCCGGCCGCCCATGGCGGGACAAGTTTCCAATATTTTCCAATTTGTTTCATGAGTGCTCACATGTCTACGCTGCAAATGGCCCCTGACAGTGGATCCCAAGCGGAGGGCCCTGGCCCCGCGGGTTTCGCCTCTAGCGAACCTTTGGCTCATCTCAAGGACCATCTGCTTTTGATGTTGGAGGGAGGATGCCAAAAGATTTACCCTGCAAAGTTGCTTGGTTACACCTCACTCCCCGGTTGATCAAAATTGACATATCCCCACTAAACGGTAGAATCTCTTGTAGTAGGAAAGGCAGCCATCTCACAATTCTACTAAAGGTTCAACATTTTGCACTTCCAGTCCCCCAAAAAAAACAAATACACGGCACGTCTCAAATCGTTCTGAAATGAGCCCAGCATAGCCCGACAAGCGTCTTATGTGAGAGTTTCTGCACCGGGGCCGCTTGTAGCGCCTGCCGCAAGCGCTCCGCGCCTGCCTCCGTCTCGCGGCCTCCGAAGCCCAGCTCGAACTCCAACAGGTGAGGGTGGCGAGCCGAGACCTTCGGCACCTGCGCCGAAAGGCCCAGTCCCGAGGACAGCAATGAGTCCTGTTTGGAAGGGATCTATGGAACAAACAGGTTCACATGTGTCCAACCGGTTTTGAGTGGAACAAATCACGTTGCCCACCGGCTGGGAGAACCCGCCTACATGTTCCTGACTAGGGCAGGGATGACAAGGGTTTTCACATGCAATGGTTTATGGTTTAGTAGGAGGCACAAGCATGACCAATCCCCCCCCATTGGATGGTGACCGTCACCATCTTCGCCCTCTTCGTCCTCGCTTCTCCCGGGTCCACTGGCCTCCTGGTAAAGCTTCATGGCTTCAGGCGATGCTTGGACCATCTGGCGGAAGCTGTGATGCGCGCAGAAATAGTCGACCTCCGGCTGAGCAGTCCCAGCGTCCGCGCTCGGCGAGCCCGTGGCGAAGCAAGTGGCCCCTGTGGTTTGAGTCTGACCCCACACGGAAAAACCGTGTCTTTTCTATTCTGTTTTGAAATGTATTGATTGATTGGTTCATATTGGTTCCACCATGTTCCACCTAAGCATGCACAGTCTGGCCTTTGCGGAACCAAGAAAGCTTCATCTTTCCCAAGCACCCTAACGCGGACGTTATGATGGGTCAAAAGAATATAGACTAGAGTGTTTGGAAATACGCAACGCTGGTGACAGACTTAGAATCCACATGAACCCTCCTTGACATCTCACTCTCCCATTGTCGCTCCTTTTCCCGCCCGTGAACGGAACCTCAGCCTTGCAAAACTCCAATCGCAAGGCTGCCAGCCAGTTGGAGGTGAGCGGATGCCCTGGACTGCTGGCGATGAACCAGTTGCTGATCCTCAGAGCAAACAAGCTGTTAGTGTCGGCGCAACTCTGCTGCGAAGATGCTGGGGCTCCAACTCTCCAGATGGACTTGACTCAAAAAGACCAGAGACAGAAGGGACCTGCAGGTGCTCGTCATGTGTTCCATGTACCTGGTGGCCTGGCATGTACCTGCTAGGACTATGCTTTGAGCCATAACCATGCTTTGAACCATCGGCACTTCCTGGTCACCACAAAGGGGTCGCACGTCCAGGCGGTCCGAGCATCCACAGCTCGCAGTCCACGAAGGGGTCGCACGGCCACGACTTGGATTGGGACCTCGGGCTGCCACGACCGCTGGGCGAGTGTGCTTCCCACAAAGATCACCGGTCTTACTTACTGCTCCGGTGATCCTGCACCTCGGCCTGTGATCCTGCACCTCGGCCAAGGTAGCTGCAGAAAAAAAACAAAAAAACAATAAATAGATTAATAACCACTAGTGGTAATTCCTAATATGTCCTACTGATATAACCAGTGGTGCTCCCACTGGTGCTCCCAATCATTGCAAAATGGACATGACATTAACATAATTTAACATCTGTGAGCAACTGTGCAGTTGCTTCTACTCTTGTCAAAGAAAGCTGGCAATACAGATTGAGAAGATCGCAGGACAACAAGCTTGCCCGGCGTCCCCCAACTATACAGTAGTACTTGTTCTTGTGTGTGTATCCTTTGGTGGGCCCCCTGCGAAAAGCACCACATCCAAGGGATGCTCGTGCTTTAGTTGGCCGGACGGTCCTGTCAATCTTTCAGAGTCCCATGTCCAGCTAGTTGTCCAGCTTCTGCCGATTTTGTCGGTGATTTCTCTCCATGTTGGAGGGGGACCTCTTCAAATTGTACCAATTGCAGCAATTGTGTTGAGCAAATCTGCACCAGGAGGCCGGTCGAAGACGAAGAAGAAACCCTCCTGCTCGCTTCCAGATCCGCCTTCCTTCAGAGCCTTAGCTTGTCCACTAGTGGGCCCCTGACGCCAGCCTGACTGGTCAGGACGGAGGTGTCCATCCCCTTGACCTCCGGGGCAAAAACAACCGCGCAAACACCGATGCTCGTATTACTGCGGAATGCTGATAAGAACATATATACATTATACATATATTAAGTCAAGAACAACACGATGTGAGTTATTTTCTAAATGACACCCTTGGATGAAACGCCCTGGTATAAAGTACATGACGATAATATTGAAAACAACTGTAACTATGCGCTGAGGGAACCACAATCAGTCCAAAAGCTTGGACACTGAATTCACTCGATCCCCAGTAATTAGTTCTCATGTTCTCATCATGGAGTTTCCACATGCTGAGGTTCTGGCTTGCAACCAAGGCATGACGGGAGCCGAGCAAAACAAGGTCGCGTCCACCCAAAGCCCGCCGAACTTCTCCTAAAGGGCCGGGCACCCGTTGTACATTTTCCCGGCCCAAGGGGTGGATGGGGCGCATCAAGCGAAAAAGGAAACCGGATGAAGTAGAGGCTCAGCAGGGGTTGAAATCCTGAAGGGCAAAGGATGCAAGTTGATTCAAATGGAATTGATTTTACACGTTCTGAGTCAGAACTGCTGAGCGCATAGTAACGAAACTAGGCTTGTTTCAAGCTTCCATAGCACGTGCCCAACTAAAGCTTCATGGTCAATGCTCCTGCAATTTGGTTCAGTCCCTTGGAGGCTGCAATTTGCAAGTGACAACTTAGCAAGGTGTGCGAGTGCCCAGGTGTGGGGGGTCGGGCAGTGCACAAAGCAACGCACCCCAGGCAAGCAAACACCACACCAAATACCCTCAAGATCCTTCAAGCCAGTGCATCCACCCTCTCAAACTTGATCATTTGATATCACTTGCATTTATTTGCATCACACTCACCTGGTTTATACATCAAAACCATTCCAAACACAAACAATCCCCAATGGGTCTCTGCATAGAACAGAAAAACCGTGCTGTAATATACAGTAGATAATATAGATTGCGACCCAAAAATCAAGGAACAGTCGGACAAAGACCGGTCTTCTCCCCAAATAGGTTGCTTCGTCACTACCAATATATATATATATATATAAATATATATTTGTTATTCTTTTCAGCACTTCCCAAGGATTCGTCCACGAGATCTCGGTTCGCCAAGCATCCAGCAAGGCCAGTCTGAGGACATCAGCACGTTGAGCTGCTGGCAGCTCCCAGAACCTTTTCCTGGGGAACTCGCGAGAGCCGTTAGCAAAACAACAAGGGACAGGCACCTGGAAAGCAAAACGGCGCACCCCTTTCCACTGCGTATGATTGATTACTGTATATATACAACATGTATAATAAATACGAAACATAACTCAATTTAAAATACACATGCAACATCAAAAACCTGAAAAATCATCCCCCACCGAAAGAGGGGCACCCCCACCGAAAAAAAAGCTCAGCAATGTCCAGTGAACATCACTGACCAGGAAGCTCTCCGTTGGCATGTGCAGGACTTGATGTGACCATCACTGACCTCCTGGGGTCGCGTTGATGTAGATGCTTGATTGAAACAATAGTAACAGTATACAATGGTTTCAGATGGTTCAGAGTAGCCGGCACAATCTCCAAAAGGCGGTTTATATGGACCCCTATATGAAAAACATCTTGGGAGTTGCGCCATCTACTCTGAAACCACTGCACGTGGTTTTGTACTCAAAATCGGGTGGTTGTTGCTACTCTGCTTGGGATTCAGAATGGCACCGGATCCTCCTTGGCTGGAGATTGACCAACCAAAAGAACACCAAAGCCACCAAATGGACGTCAGGATCTGGAGCAGCACCCCAAGGATGGACGATTCCTGCTTCCCCGGCCCGTGAGACTGGAGCATGGATTTCTAGCTCCAAAAATCAAACACATTCAAAAGCCACCAGTTGAGGCATGTTGAAAACGAAGACTCCTCAACCGAGTCCGAAAGTGCCAAATACGCGATAATTTTGGAGCTATGAAGGTGCGCCGATTTCGGCGGACGATCATCCAATGATCCAATGGAATTTAGAGTGCACCGAGAACCCATCAACATCCATAAACATCCATCAACCCAACGTCCACCGCTTCGCCTCGTTCGTCACCCACCGAGTCTTCCCCTGGTTCGTCCGAGCATCCAGCCACAAAGCTCGGGCAGCAGCTCGGGGAGATCGACCGAGGAGATCTGCTGGAAGTGCAACTCCGGATTGGCCAAACGCCAGCTCTTCACACAGGCCTACGCGAGCCCAAGGGCGGAAAACACATGGCCTGCAGGGTATGGTTGAGGAATTGCGAGTCCGGCCAGTTGAACAAACCAGGACACCACGGCTGGCAAAAGCAAATAGTGCATCTATGTGCACATCGTAGAACACATCGTAGAACACGGCCGGTCTCTAGTTCAACAACGAAATGGCCGACAACACGGCTCTCTGTCACATCATGTCACATCTCTTTGCGGCAACCGGCGGCAACACACTTGAAGGACCGAAAGGAACCGAAAGGGTCCAAACACACCGAGGCGCCTTAGAACTGCATGACGTCTTGACTGACTTGTTCCACCACTCAGGGGTCCGTTTGACGCCGACCCAGTGAAGCCCCGAGTGAAACACCGGCAGCTCCGCCAGACTCACCAGCTGAGATTCATGTGAAACCCTCACATCAATCGGCTTTTGCTGGCACCCTTAGATACCCTTAGAGGCTAAACCGGAGTCCAAAACCGAGTTCAACTCTTTTAACATTGGTCCGCACACTGCAGGTGTTCAGATCATACACTCCGCTGATCGCCGCTTCTTTGGGACCGTTTTTCAACGCCAGCTCGAAGAGGGCGACAACACGAGCGACATGACCGCGGAAGAGGGGCGACGTGACATGCTCCGTCCCGTCCTGGCACAAGGATGGAGCGTGCTCCCAACCCTGCTCCCAGTAGGTCCAAACGATGCCTGGAACCTGGGCAGAGGGTCAGTGGTGTGCCGCAAACGAAGCCAACCAAACATGCATCAGTTAGATTGAATATTTGATCGAATGGTTTTTGAATGGTTTTGATACGCTTTCAGGTAGCTCTAAGTTCAGGTACCAGTGTGCGAAAGATTGCGAATTATACAATCCCTCTTCTCTTTGATTCCCTTTTACTCAGAAAATGCTACGGACCAGCTGCCTCTTCTTGACTTTGAAACATTTGCCGCGTGCCAGGTCCATCCCGTCACAAAGACGAAGCAATTCTTTGCTGGGTGTCTGTAAACCCCCCCCACCCCCCTTTGTTGGAAGCCATGAAAACCTACTCCAATGGCCAATCGCCGCTGAATCAGGCTGAGGGGCTGGTTGCTCCATCGCTGTACTAGCCTCCGTAGACTCCTCGTCGGGCTCTGTCAGCTCTGTCGGTGGAGAAAGCCGGTTGAGCAAGAAGGTGAAGGCAAGCAAGACAAAGGACATCCTAGTTGCTGAACCCATGGAGGGCGCTGAAAATCAGGCATTTCTCAAAACAAATGCTGAAAATACAAGGACCCACATTCCACATGGAACCGTGCTGCAAAGAAACAGCACCGGTCTCAGCATGAGCCCGTGAAACCGCTCCCAAACACGCCACTTGCAAGGCCACGTGTGCCCTGCAGGACCAATGCAACTAAGCCTCAGCGAAAGAGTCGGGAAGAAGGCCTTGGTGGACATTGGGAAACCACAGCCCTGCCGGTTCGTGTGGTGGATGGATAGGACTTCCGGAGATTGTCGCAACGGGAATTGATGGGATTTATATGGATTTATGAGTTCCCTCATCTTTCATCATCGCCCCTCATGATGCCAAACGATGCTCCACCCAACATGTTTGAATTTCCTACAGTGCCATGATCTAACATCTTGAAACATATCCTTGAACAGTACATCTCCGTGGCTTTTAGGGATGGTGCCCCGTGGTCTTAGGGAAGATGCAAAGGCACAAGTACCCTCAGCTGGTGGTTAAGACCAGCCCTCGCCCCTCGCGTTAAGTTCTGTATTGTACCATCCACATCCATCCACCCTGAGATACTCTGAGACGACTGTACTGTACACGCATCGAATGGATCTGTCCCCCCGCAAAGCATGTCATGAACTCATACCATCCAAAAGGCTTGGGTACCAAAGAGACTCAAGACCCGACTCATCAGGAAGGGCACGCCACCTGCAGGAAGGCGCTACATGGCGCTACTGCAGGAGACATGAGGCGCATTGCTGGTCGAGAGCTTCACGATGACTGGATGCGAGAGGTAGTAGAAGTACGTAGCAAAGAAGAGGAAATGACTGCAGAACATCCTCAAGGAAATGGACAATAAAACTCCCTGAATGGGCTTGCCCCCTTGATGCAATTCCGGGAGAAACACTTCTCCGTCCGCAGTTTTTCGCTCCAAACAAACGGCGGGATTCGTCTTACGTTTTTCGTCTCACGCCTGCGCCGAGAGAGCTGGCGATGGAAAACATGGCCGTGTCAATGGATGTGAGCCCTCCAGGCCGCCTCTCCTGACGGCTGACGGGCTGCGATCGAACCCATGAGGACGAAAAACGCTCCGACAGACGTCAGGTCCGAGGCTGGGCCCTTCCGTGCCGGGAGGCACACGGAGGCACTCATCCCTGTTTACAGTCCAAACAGAAGTAGGATTGTCACTGGAGTTCAGATTGGCCCTGCTTAAAATAGAATGCAATCAAGATCAATCAAGTGTAAATCGCTACTGATGTGAGAATGAAAGACGGAAAGTGATGATAGGCTTGTTCCCGTGCTCAAAGGTTGAGCCATTTATGGCTATAAGCCATACTAAAGCCACAAGCAAAGTGAGCTGGAAGACCCACAGACCGGCTATGGCACACATTGCCACCCTATAGTTACACTATAACATACTAGTTGCACACTCCGAATCACGGCGCCCCACGGCCCCGGCCCCGGACCCCACCTTGGCCATGCTGATGATCATGGCGTAGGAAGGTCCGGCGCCCAGCGCCACGCCTGCAACGCCCAGCAGGATGCTCCACAGGTCCGGGCAAAGGAGCACCGCAAAGCAACCTGTGGACAGGCCGCTTGGTAGTGGTGGACCAATGGAAGGGGCCGAAGGGGTATTTGGAAGTGGGAGGTGCATACTGTATACCCCCTACTGGTCCACATGGGATGTATGGGATGTAAAAAATGGTTGCTGCAGAAATGAAACTCCGTGCTATTCAGTAGATCCAAGGGCTGTAGAGTCAATTTGGTCAAGTGGAGACACAAATGTGCAGGAGGGTGCTGCCAAACAGATCTCCTGCAAGCCAATGCATAGCACTCCAAGTAGGAACATACTTCCCATATGTTTCAACAAACGGTTCGCGTCATTACCACAAACAAACGACCCTTACAAAGACCAGTCGCAGAAAAACTGCGGTAGCCTTCCCCCATGGCATATATCGCAAACAAAAACTCTTTACATGGTAGGCAGCAAATACGATGCACATCTTTGCACATGGATTGTTTGGACACGATTTCAACGGCTGGTGGCTCTCACCCCTTAAAGGTCTTAAAAAGCCCAAGTCACACGCAGCTGAAAGGGCTGCACCGGCCATAACCATGGACGCTGGGCGAGGGCTTAAACACTTGCAAATGCACGGCGCCAACACCAGGCGGCTCAAAGCAAAGAGGATCCAGAAGATCCTCAACGCATGGCATCGGGGTATGCATGTCACTACGGAGACCCCGTAATAGATTTTGGTCTGTTTCCCTTCTTCCAGTGGCTCTTTGGGAGGTCTGCAAGAGGTTGATCCACACTCACTACACACCCATATTCACCTCTTGACCAAGGGTTTTTTCTGGAAGAGCAAGCGCTCTCCTGCGTCGCAAATGTGGCCATCAACGAGCTATCTAGGGGTAATATGGCATTCACCTTGAGTCCTTGAGGAATCCCCGCAACACCTGTGGTTTACTCCAACTCTCCGGGGGTGATGTCTCTTTGGAGCAAATCCACGTCACCACACCAGCCGAGTCCGATGAGGATACCTTTTTCGTATCAAGCATAAGGATACTATACCCTTCTTCACTTCATGGTCCGGTAGCACAAGGAACACATCTAAAGAAGGTATGTTTGAACTCTTGAAAAACAAAACTGACCAAACCAGTGAGCGACTGGACATTCAACCACCGACTGGGTCGAACGTCATGAACATCCTTTTCAAAAAAACTATACTAGCCATCACTCAATCATCTATTGGGGGGACCCGTGGTCACTGCAAAGCTCCGCACGTCTCCCATCGGACGCCGAGGGTCACATTGCATGTGGATGACGCCTGAATCGCCGCATGACGCACGCGACTCGGGCGGCTGAGAGAAGCTGCACTCGCCAAAGATGGAAGTGAAGGAGAGTATGTGCAATTACAGCTGTTACTGTAATTAATAACTGTAGCAACATATTTGTTATTTGTACTGTATATATATATATTGTAATACAATTACTGTACGGCATATGTACAGTGATTAATTAATAGCCCATGGCCAGGATGACAGGATGGAACCAGAAAAAGGACCGAGACTTCGTCGGTAGAACAGCAAACCCCCCCTGGGATCGGAACACCTTTTGAGGCACTTAAAGGCACACAGTGATAGCTGCTACGAACCAACCCACCAACCAACCTTGCATGCCAAGAAGCTTCAGAGCTAAAGCCCATCCTGTGCAAACAATGTTGGAACCGAGCATCAGCATTTGAAAACTGAGCTAGCCAAGAACCACACTACAGAAGCACAAAGAACAGAACAAACTGAACTTAAGCATGTCACACATTGCAAGTTCAAAACAAACACTTGCCATGTGCTTGCCAAAGGATCTGCGTCATGGCTGTGATCAACCATGTGCCGCAGGCCACTTCCACCCCCACGGCGAGGACTCCAAGCCCTGCTGCTGCCACTGAGAAGCAGCGCGAGGTCGAGGACGTCATCGATTTCGTGGGTGAGCTCCTGGTGCTGGGTCAGTGAAAAAGTCTGGAGAAGATGAAGGGGCGAAGGTGAAAGCTATGGGGAAAGCTACTGTTGATGGACAAAATCCTGCACCACCTCACCACTTTACCCTGGAAGGGTCGCATAGCAACCCCCGGCCCCCTCATTCAATGTTGGCGCGACCCCTCTGAGGAGGTGGTGCGGATTTTGAACCAACTTGTTCTAGTTTTCTCACTGTGGTGGCCCCAATGCTAACGAGGGAGAACGAGGGCAGCAAGAAAACTGTGCGCAAAGTGGTGCAGGATGTTGTCCATCAACAGTATGGATCTGATGGAACCACCCTCCAGTTGCAACCACAAAGCAGCTCAATATTTAATATAGTTCTGTGATTGGATCGAATGCACGGAAGAGGGATTTTCATAAGCCGCCATGGAAAACGGAAACAATGGGATGGGATCACATGGGATCCGTAGGCCCTGTAGGTTGAGGAGGTTAGACTACTAGTAGTCTCCTGCACTTCTGCATGGAATAAGCCACCGACACCATGCGCAACGTTCACCAACCCACCAACGGACCCCCTGGGTCCAAGTGACCTGCTTGGACTCTGTGGGTTGGATCCATAGATCAGGTCCTGCGCTTAGTTCTTTAGCTTGTTGGTTGTTCGGGGTTGATTCACTTCAGGTGAGCCACGAAGCTGGAATCTTGGCTGCAGCACTCCGAGGGTTCACACCCCCCAGGCCTTTGCCAATTCGCGGATGCCCGGATTTACTGTTCTTGAATCTCCTCCGCCCCAAGTCAGTCGGAAGACCACGGATTGAACGGGTTGCCTCCACTGGAGAGAGTGCGCTGGAACATCCAACCCACATAGTTGGAAAGAAAAACTGCCCAACATTCATCTCGCCAAACTCCGTGCCAAGCATCCCTGCTGCCGGCGTATTCTCCAATGTGGGCAGCACCAAGAAGAGCAAGGACGAGAGGCATGTGAAGCCACCTGCCATGTAGAAGACCGCAGCTCCTGCAAATAGGCCCGGCCCTATGCAAGTTTGGTTCTGCTCAGTGTCTGTGAACCGCAGAATACCAGTGAGAAAAAAGAAGAAGTTTAGGTCCAGGTTCCTTCTTTTCAAAGAAATGGGCTTCATGTCATCAAGTCATGTGCGTTTTGGTTTTAGGCGTCTGTATCTTGGCCCGATCACGATCATCCCCAGTGCTTCCAATCCGCATCAATCCGTTGGGTGCTTTTGGGCTCCTCCAAATGCCGAGGACGAGTATTGCTCCATCAAGACCTGAGGGGCCCAAGTAGGGACCCAGCAGTCAGGCAATCAATAGATGCACGTGGCCCATTTGTCATCGAAAAGACCGCTGATTGATGAGTCCTCACCCATCAATGGATCCTTCTTTCAAGACCCAGGTGATGACCCTGGACAAACGATACACAATTAAAAGTAGAAAGCCCGGCATGACGGCTCCAGGAAGCATGATGACTCAATGACATGGATCCCAATCATAGGCCCCAATCTCAAGAAGTTGCACCCAGTACTGTCGCTACGAGGAAAGAGAAACGGTTGCCTCAACCGGTGGTGGATTTCGTCCAATGGGTTCACTGGGGTGCCTCGAAAGTGCTCCACCGCCCGTGGAAAGTCAAGGAGGTGAAAGCAGAAACAGCAAGCACCACGTGATACCACATGAACAACCACTGGTCAAGACAAACCCCACCCGAATGAACTGGAAGTCAGGGCGTCAGCCACAACAAGATCAACAACCACACCAAGAATCCCCAATAACTTCCCCAATAAGTTGCATCAACCCAATAAATAAAACCTTCCAAGGATTCTGTGAACACGAGAATCTGACCTTTCGGACAAAAGCATCCTCTCCTAGGTGCATCGATTTGGACTCCACGGTTCGTGGATTCACTTTCCAATTCCAATTACTGTTTCACTCCCATTATATAGCAAGCAGAAGACCAACCAACCCACAAATCGAACACCCGCGTCGATCGGTGTTTCAAGCTTCGACAGCTGACAGCTGCAGGCTGCAGGAGTGACCCGCACCCTTCCGGGCCCCTTGCTCCCCATCTTCGGCCGTGCGACCATTGCTACAGCACCCAGCGCAAAACCACCTTGAGAAAAGCTTTGGGCGGCACTGCTCTTCGCAGCATCCTCAGTCAGTTTGACGGGGGAGGTGGAGGAGGTGAAAAAATAAAGGGTCAAAGTTCAGCCATCTTCAGCCTGTCAGACTGGTTGATTTCTGCTGACCTCTTGGAGTGTTCAGCCGGTCGCTCAGAGTGTCACCCGACACGGCCGTGCCTGGTCGGGTCACCGTGCCGTGTCGGTCTCAGTCACCAGACCGCGCAGGCACCTCGTAGAGCTGGGAGACTAGGAGGTTGGTCATTTGTCCAATCCACGGCCGTGGCAAAACTTGAAATGCATAGACCACCACCAAGGAATAGATGGAACCTGCAGGAATAGGCTCCGCCAGAACTTCAAGATACCGGTTGAATATCTGCTTGGGCTGTGGTTTTCGGTATTAAGGACCTAGTCCACTGGTGGGAGAAAAACATGAAGATCCACAACAGGGGTTCCGTTCTGGAGTCCCTGTTCTGACTACTGCAAGAGGCACGGCTGAAGACATACAGTAGCACCTAGGACATGAGGGTGGCAAAACAAAAACTTTACAAACAACATAGACCGTCAGTGAGCAAATGGCAGCTAGCACCGCTTTGCACAGCTCTCGCAGCACCGAACGAACAGCCTGAAACCAGCTGTTCCCTGCCTGTCTTGGATGCGCACACTCCGACCCCCAAGGATGCGGTCGACCGTCCGCTTCATGCGGACCCCGCATGAAAAGCATCAACGATCGAGTGGCCATGGGGAAACAGCAAACCAATGAAGACATGTTGACAGGATGCCCAAATGAAGACGAAACCACAACGAGCTGCAACTGGGCCCAACTCTTCCACATAAGATCTATGATATCTATGAGTCAAGTCAAGGAATGTTTTGAGAGTTTGGATGTGTGACCCTGAAACCTACGTTTCAAACATCTCGACTTACCAAAACAAAACTGCTTAGTTTATGATTGTTTGGCACCATGGTTGATCAGAATGGTACATATCGCTCGTGCCAAAGCTATGTCTGGTGGCTGATTCATGATTGAACTACTACATCGAACTCACTCACCAAATAACTACGCAAAAACATTTACAAAAAGACCTCGCAGTTGGTGCTGCACCAACTAGCCCCGAACGTCAGGTGCTTTTTACGTCCACAACTGGCCCCGTCACGTGCGTCACTGCGACCGGCTACTCACAAGTGCCGAAAACACTGCATTTTTATGTACTCTGCACATGTGCTCTCCAACCATTGACCCCCCTGTAAAATGAATCACTCGGAGTCATTCATATGTTTTTCCGTACTGTAGTGACTTAGTGTGGCCCAATTTGCGGCCCAATTGATCCCAAACTGTCGCAACGTGTGCTTCTTTCTGCGTCCGATCTGCACTCAAATGATGCCTTTGGCAGTTGCCCGTCGTCTGTTCTCCTTTTCTCCGAGAAACTGCTGGCCACGGGGAGTAGGGTAAAGAAGCCTCCAAGCCAAAGGGTCCTCAGCAAGCAAAGGCAACAAAGGGGTCTAATTAATGAATAAGACCCTCGATTTGGATTGGTTTAAGAACCTCTTCAATTACACTACACTGCACTCCCTCACCTTGTGTAGGCAGTGCAAGGCGATCTTATTTTGAAGATCCTGTCTTCCTCGCACTCACCTTCAGGCCTTTGCCGCGCGCCTTCGCCCAACGCACGCGCCGTGCACGCAACCTCTGCGGCCCAGCCGCATCAGGCATAGAAGGCCATGGTGATACTTCCGGGGCACCAACGCCTCGGGTTTCAGGTGGCGTCTCTGGAGTGACATACTATACAACAAGCCAAAACACAACTGGCTAACCTCTGATAATACCGTATGATTACTGTCGTGTGGTTCAGGTCCTCATCGTCCAGGTAGAGTGGAAGCACACTTTTGATTATTATATATATATATATAAAACTATTAGAAACAAGTGCCTTACTAGTAGTCACAAGTGCCTTACTAGTAGTAATAATGAGTAATTGGGGCCCAGGGTCTTCTTCACCTCTCGGCACCAATTGCCCTACCTTCACCCCACAAACGCTGCTCGCTGCTGGCTGGCTTCAAAAATCCTCCCTCGTCCAGGCTCTTCTGAACAGGCTAAGCCCTTCTGAACAGTGCTGTTTCAATCATCGACGGAGAAGCCCAGGCGCCATCATGCTGGAGGCCAAGCCGGACAGGATGCACATCACCGATTGTGCCGCTGGCAAATAGCCCAGGGTCTCGGGTGAGACCTCCGCGTTCCTGGGTGGAGCTCTTCGGGCTGCGGGATGGGACCCCGCATGACCCCGCAGCCCAAAGCCCCAGCCTGAGGACTGTTCCAGTAGCACTCCACCTCGCCTTCGGAAGAACTTGATCCTCTTTCCAACTTGGAAGCTGCCAGTAGTGAACATTGCAAAACATATTAAACCCAAAAGGTATCTGTGTGTTTTGGTGTTTAGCATATTCATAATATATACAATTATTATTCAATTAATATATGTGTTAAGCTCCGGAGCTGCAAAACCTGTTGAACCTTGCAAACATATATGTTATATGTGTCTCTTCTCAGCTCAGCTTCTCTGCAAGCCATGGAATCGATGGGCCAAGCGCACTGCAGATCATCCCGAAGACCATCATAGAGATGCCTGGGTCGACGCAAAGAGGGCTTTGGCTGCACCTCAAACAGGTGGTTCCATCCGATTACTGGCGTTTGAAGGAGATATAGAAAATGTAGTTGCATTAGTTAGTTGCATCCGAGAAGAGGAGGTTTTATGTCGCTGCCCACGATTTTTTGCTGCTCAGCCGCTTCGTATCGCTTCATCTCCAGAGAGACAGGGTAGCACCCGATTCGTCTGAAGAATGGGCGGCAAAAATCCACGAAGTTAGACCAAGGGCCCCAACTCCGCCAGAAGGACATGACTCATGACCGAACATGGTAGGGCACTTAGTGGGGAAAAACACTTGATTGATGATATACTTGATATATATATATAACTATATAAGTGTATATTGCGAGAAAAAATTGGAAGGGTTCATATCCTTCAGATATTGACATCTGCTGCCTATCAGGACCTATCCAAAGCTTGCCGAGATGCTATAGGCCAGCAGGCGCAGTGCTGCAATCACGGCTGGGCGTCTGGACTCATGGGAATAGCCTTTCAATGACTGGCTTTGTGCCCGCTTGTCCATCGCCCCTGGGCGCTGCGCTCTTCGGGCAAACTCTCCACTGACGTTGCCAAACACTCGAGCCAAGTGAGCCAAGTGAGCAAGCGCTGGTCATTTGGCGTCCGCGGGGCACATCTACCCGCGTCGGACACTCCGAAGTTGGCCAAGACGGTCGTGGATAGAACAAAGGGGGACAGAATAATTATTGAATATATATATATATATACATTAACCCCATTGGCAGGAGATTGGTCGCTAGCCTGGAAGATCCTCAAGCACACCGTCCAGCGGAGAGCACGTTCGCCACATCTCACCACCACATGTTGGTCCAAACCTGCATGGCCTCTTAGCTGAAACTGGGTTCCTCCAGAAACCTTTGTGCCACTTCCAGGACCACCGCCCTTGGTTCCCTCAACAAAGACTCTGTCTGCAGGACGCCTGAAAATGCATGTAGTGTTGGATCTTTTTTTGCACACATGCAGCACGGATGGCAAACGCATAGTTTGGTTATATAGTTTCAGTCACAGGGCCATTTGTGTATTCCTTTATGGTACTATATAACCACCGCTCTTTTGATCAAACATATAATCCTGAATCATTCAGGTTTTGCTTCTGGAATATACCAAGGCACTATTCTCAGCACTTCTATCAACAAATTTAAAAATCATCAAAACATCCTTATTCAGCTACATCTATATATTATATATATATTGACGGACTGTAAGTTAGAATGGGTGTCCCATATGTGCTTTTTTTCTACACAGATAGAATGCCCAGGAAAAAGGCCACAGAAAGAATGCCGGCAAGACATCAAAAAAACCTCAGAGATAGAATGCCAGTACAAAGCTAAGCATCAATACTTAGGACACCCATTCTAACTACAGTCCGTCAAAAGGAAAAAGACAGAGAATGATCACTAGTAGTAAGGCCAGGAGTCCCTAGTAGCGTCCTTGCTCCTAGTAGTAAGGCCGGGAGCCCCTAATAGCTTCTTGTTACTAGTAGTCATGGCCTCCAGTTTGTTTCATGTCCGACCCGGGCGGAAGTGTCAAAAAGCTCTCTCCGAAGAGCCTCTTCCCCTGCGATCCTTTTTCCCTTACTCAGAACGTCCCGAAAGATTCTATCTGGCAAAGCAAATTCTGCTTCTTGGATGAACCATCCAATACCGGGCTGGCACTTTTTTCACATCAGATGGTAGGCATCATTTTTCTACAAAACTGTCCACCATACCGTTGCGTAGTGAACACAAAATGCCAACCAGCGGCAATTTCCCCCAATGATCCCCAATGGCCTTGCCCTTGAGCCACGCTTTGAACAACCAAAAAAACTGACACATTCTAACTGTTAGTTTTGAGGAATTTGGGATAGCAAACGCAGGTGTCGAGACAGTTGAGCGGGAAAGAGGGCCGGCCATAAACTTGATAAACGCCTTCCAGTAGATTTACCCCAAAGGAGGGACCTTGTGCCAGGGCCTGCAAATCAGACCGGGCTAGTGCGCTGTACATTGTAAACAAGACTCGACTGCAATATCAATTAGTCTATATATATATATAACATCACATCATTATCTATATACTATATAAAAATATAGAAGCAAACAATCTATGCATGAACTGTTTCAATGTATATCAAGTTGATAAAGCACACGCCGGCCAACTGTACCCCAAACAACCCTGACATCAGGGCCCTCAAGAGTTTGTCCTTGCTCTTCACAACACAACCAAATGAGACATTCTAACTGTGAAACTTGGAAGATGTAACGATACGGTTCCACAAGCGAGAACAATAAATGAGCGAGAACAACAAATGTGCACAAGCCGTCTACAGATAAGCCTCGGTGGCTAGAGCTTCAACTACTCTATCGTGTTGAAGTCTCCACATCCCATCGCGGGGATGTTTGTCCATATACAGCTTCAAGAGCCCACGAATCACCAATAACAAAGCTTCCGCCTCTGTTCTCCGCGTGGTGCCGCTGTGAGTGTAACAGAGCTCCTTGGAACCCTTGTCGGGGTGATAGCCTGACCACGTGCGGCTCCCGCTGTGGTAGCTAATGTGGATGCCGCCTGGTGGCAACGCCACCAAACCCAGTGCCTCCAATTTGCAATATGCTGGCCGGTGGTGGAATGCTTTGACCCGCACATACCCTGGAGGCACCAAGTTTCTCAATTCTTCCTCTTCTGAACTGAATCCCAGCACCTCTTCATGACCGGAACCCTCCAAGGCTGCAGCTTCCGTCACCAAGGCCTCTTGCTCATCGAGGAACCCGTCCTTTGCCTCCATCTCCTCATCTGAGTCAGCAAGCAAGGCCTCTTCAGCCTGGTCCACGGAACGCAGGGCCCCTTCAGCCAGGCCTTGATCCAAACTTGAAGGGACTGCATTCTCGTTCTCAATGCCTGGCTGGGCAGCGCCGAGGAGCACCACCAGCTTAAAGGAGTTTCCACCTCCAGCTTTCAGCTTGACCAAGCTTGCCTCTGGAGACATCTCGATGTCGATGGAAAAGAGTTCCCGTCGCATTCTTGCCACGTCTGCGTTCTTGCGGACAGTGGTGACCTCACACTGCTTCACCTTGTTGAACAACAACCGGATGGTCTTTTTCTCTTCCTGCCAATCTGTGTACAATTTCTGCATTCTTTCTGTAAGGTTTTTGCCCTCTGCCGCCCTCCGTGAGATTTTCAGCTGCCAGCTTTTGTGCTCCTCAAGCCACTTGGCTGTGTACCTCCGGATAGGCTCGCACATCCAAGAAGGCAAAGCCTGGCGGGTTTGCTCATCAGACCCGCTTTGTATAGCCCAGATCATGTGCCTCTCACCCTCCATTGGCTCATTCCGCAGCATCTGCATCTGGGCCCGTTCATTCTCGTCTAAAGACTGGTCAGGAAGCTGGTCCAGTTGCAAGATTTGCTGCATGCTATTGCGATGTCTCTTGAGGCATTGCTTGACAGCTGCCACAGATCCTGATGGGGCAAGCCACAGTTGGAATGTGTGCCAACCCTTATTAGCAGGACTATGGGTGAACATTATCCACATTCTATCTATGGCCATGTTGCCACACAGTCTAAGTCTAGAAGTAAATAATGGAAGCACAAAGCACTTTCTAGGTTCCATATATATATATCACATAATCATCCTGGAGTAGATACTCGTCGAATGGAATGCACACTTAAAAGCACCCTCCAAAAACTGGCCCCCCCACCCATATCTATATATATAGATGGAATATTGTGATAGATAGGCATACCACACCAATCCAAATATATATATATACATATTATATATATTATATATATATTTATTACACAAAATTATGTGGATGGATGCTGGTGTAAACCTGCGTACAAAACAGGAGTTAGAATGCTTCCGACCTCCAAACCGCCAGTCAGCAGCCCACACCAGGAAAAATATCTATGACTTACACAAAATTATGTGGATGTAGATTGATATAAACCTGAACAGAAAACACAGGAGTTAGAATGCTTCCGACCTCCAAACCGCCAGTCAGCCAACTGCTCTTCGGTGATGAACCCTCTCGATAACCAGGCATACCACACCAATCTTCCTGACCTTGGATGCACAGCTGTCATTTGAGACTGAAACTGTTCCCCTGGAAACCAAGACCAAAAAAGCAAATCCATCTCCCAGAAAAAAGGCCAAAGAACTCAAACTTGCCCAATGATTGGAGTGCATAGGCGTCTGCCTGCAGGGAAGTCATAATTGAAGTCTTGGTTGATGGAGTCGACTGAATGGAAAGATCAAGTTCATCGAGCTGCCTCCGGATGTCAAAGCTGGCGCTCCATCGTGCAGCGCAGGCGTTGAATGCATATGTCAGCTGATGCATGTGATGATGCCAGCCGTCGTTTGGCCCTCCGGCCGCGCCCCATCCGCCAGGGATTTGGCAGTTGGGGCTGTCGCCGCAGATGATCTCCTAAGTGGCAATGTTTGGCCTTTTCCATATTTCTATAATACTATATATATATATACAGTAGATAAAAATAATTCGGGGTACCTACTAAAAACTACTGGAATTAAATAAGTGGACCGGATTAAACTCTACTGGAATCCAGGAGTATGTACACATAGAATGTCTGTTTGTTGGGCTGACACCAAGGTTCCACGTTGTGCTGACTCATCCAGGCCAACTTAAGGGCCTCAAACTTTTTTGATGAGTGTTGCGTTGCTTGATCGCAGAGCAATAGAGCCCTGTCCTTCAAAGTCAGCTTCAGTTGCCGTCGCCTCTCACGAAGCTCACCCGCATAGAACTCCAGAAAAGCCATCATGGTCTCTGCCGACCATATGTGTGTTTTGGCATGTAATGGGGCGATGTACAAGGAGTGCTCCAGCTCCTCCAGGGTCATCATTCCTTTGGTTTATTACAGATAGAACAGATAGAATGCCTTCAGATTCCTTCCAACCAACCACTTTTCCTTTTTGTATATGCCCGGACGGGAAGTTAGAATGCCGAAGCACATATTTGAGACGGTGAACAAAAACGGGGCTCCTCGTTCGCTTTCCGTCTCTGGCTTTCTGAGAGGCAGTCGCCACGGGCGGTCACGAATCCCCGTGACACATAGCCATCAGCAAATGATACAGTCGTCAGTGTGTGCGGCAAACGGTACTGCTCGATTGGAGCACTGCCGGCGAGCTTTCCCTGGATCTCTGGTACCATTGCCGAGCAATCCTCATCAGACTTCACCAAGGACTCAGTAAACGGCCGACTCAGGCAACGCTCCACGCAATGCCTCACTTTTCGTAAGCTCAGACTCCGTGCCAATGGATCTACTTCTTCCCCCCTGCACTGGAGCGTTCGCTTCAGAGGCCTATACAACAAAGACCAAACCTGGTCAAAGTTTGAGACCAACCTGCCATGGACATTTCCGGTCGCTATCTGCTGTTGAACATAGGTCCTGACCCTCAGCATGCTTGGGTGATGAAATGGAAGGTGCCGCCCAGGCTTGCTGTTGCTGGTGGGCAAAAGCCCTGACTTCCTGCATATTCGCTCAGCAACTTTCCTTGCCAGTGCCAAAAGTCCAAGC